CAACCCCTACCACCCTGTGAATCTGCTTGTGAACCAAGCTCCATTCCCACCATCAGAACAGCTGCTTTCACTGACATAAAATATTGTAGAGATCAGTGAGAACTTGGTCAAAATGTCCAGTTTCTATAAAGGCAAAAATGTAATACATCTTCAGAGATGGGTTAGATAATAATAACCAAAGTGGGAAGAGGATTGTTTCTTCAGATGATTTGTAAGGTGCCTGAAAAAGGGCCATATATTTACTGAGAAAGTCAAAGCACAGATTTTTTTTCTTTAAGGGAAAAAAAAAAAAAGTGGATTTTTACCAAAACCTGTAGATCATGAAGAACAAGTCAAGTCCCATAGACAATGTGACCTTTCCTTATTGTAGAATCTTTTGCTGTTAGAAAATAAGGGGAAGAATGCATTGTGTCACAAAAAGAACGGGCTAAGAAAGAGTTGAAGCTAAAATCTAGAAGGCTGACCATACAGCATTCCTTTCTGTAACAAGCTTTTCAGCAAGGATAGTCATTTGGCCATCCCATGCGCTCCTCACTATTCCCTTTCATCATCCATCACAAAAATACAAATGACGCAAGTGCTAACAGTGTGCAAAAGTGACTGCAGTTGTCCTTGGGTTTCCATTGTTTTCTGAATTTCCTGGCTTTGCTATATTAATATAAATGTTTCTGAGAGTGTTGAGGGAAAAAGGATGCTGCTTGTTTAAACAATTTTAATGAAGGTCTAACCTTTTACATTAAACATCTGTTCCCTTAATTTACTTTCTGGCATTAGTTCATATGTTTTCTGCAAAGCATGCAGTTTAATGAACATATACCAGATTATTTAAATGAATGGTTTTAATGAGTTCTTTGAAAAGATTTCTATAAAAACTAAGCATGACATAAGTTTCTCATTTGGGATGCTTTAACATATTTTAAGAAAAACATACATAATCACTTTCCAGCAAACACAGACCTTAGTTGTTTTAACATTCCAGTGTCTTTGAGCGCTAATAAAGTAAAGTAGTAGTTTCGTAGGACTGATAAATCAGTACAGCAAATTGATGTTTTAATATATTATTACTTCCTAAGAAACAGATTTTTCTTATAGGAGAAAGGAAAATACTTTTTCATTTTACCAGAATGGAAAATTAGTTTATTTCTAAATAATGGAAAGATATGTACAGGCCTAATACTATAGGCTTTCACTAAAAGGCTCCAGCAACAGACTTAATTATTAACTTATTAATACTCCTAAGAAGGAAATACATCCAAGTTCTACTTGGATAAACTCAGGCAAAAGCAATTTGACTTCATCAAGTCATTTAGCTTCAAAATTATTAAACTTAGTCCCTGAATCTATTTACTCTTTTTATGTATTCTCTTATTGCAATATGAGGTGTTAATTCCATTTAAGTAATTAGGATTGGACATAGTTCAGCATGTAGCCCCCAGGAAGAAAAATATGCCAAAAGTCTAAACACATTTGCAGCTGCCTGTAATAATGTCTTTTGCTTTTCAACCAGCAGGGAGTTCTTTATAGGATCGGTCTAATTGTTTAGAAGTCACTTCATGGTTTAACAATATTTAATTGCCCTGATTTTTCTCTATTGATTTTGTAAATATACAAATAACAGCACTGCAATGGAAATGCAACCTGCATGAGAGGTTTTAGAATTTTCAATCGGTGGTATTTTGCCCTCTTAGAATAAAATCCATTTTTCCTGTGGAATAATGTAATAAGATGGGCCCTAATCTTAAAGGTCTGATTAGTCAAGAGATGCTCTGTTTAAGCAGCATTACAACAGCTGAGTCTTTTTCTGAGCATAAAACTAATGAGCGCATTCATTTATGCATAAGGTAACTGTATTGTAATTAGCTGGTGCTGAGCCTTAAAAGACATTTTGTTTAAATTTCAAAAATTTCATTGTGATTTCTGTGGCCTTCACTTAGTTCTACATACAGCCATTTCTAACTTTGTTCTAACCTCCTCTATCATTTCTGGCTGAAACCACTACAAAAATGCAAGGAAGATGCATCAGCTCATTCCCCATCCTTCACTCCTCCTGCCCATGGAAATGTACTGACAAAGATCAAATCTTAAACAACAATTAGTTTGCTAAAACTGCATAGCCTTGCGTTATATTGTGATAGAAGCATTTTCTTTTATCACTGATTACATGATAGGACTATAGTCAAAATCTCTCTTCTGAAGGCATAGTAAATTGCCATTGTTTTTAATGACAAGTATCTCATGGTGTAATATTTAACTACTAAAATACTTAACATTCATCAATATTAATAAGTGCCTTTGCATCACTATTAATAAATGCTAATAAATTAACCAGATACACATGAAAGGCTTAATATGCACCTTTAAATACCTACAGTATATTCATTTAAAATATGATACAAAGTCCAGGCTTTATACATGCAAAGCCTGACATCATTGTGGATTATATTTATCTCACATTGTTTTATTTTTTTCATGCTTATTCACTATTACAAGTGGAGGAATCAGTAATTTCTACATATTTTTTGTGCACTAGATCTTGGACATAGATGTTGATGCCATTGTTAGCACCAGCATCAGTTTGGCTCCAACTTTTCATTACTGAATTAATCTGTCCTTTCACAGAAGTCCTATGCCTATGGAGTTCACACATTTTTTTGAAACACTGTCTATCCTGCTTTTGGTCTGTGTTGCCAAGATTTGAGAGTGAATGACCTGAGTTTAAGTATCCACACTTCTTCAGCATCTAAAACCCTTGGTGTGAATGCGTACATTTTTTTGTATACTCACTTCAAATTTTTCTTTTTAAGTGAAAATGTTGAAGTAATGCTTACATTGTGAAAGTCTTCTATGATGCAGATTCCATTTTTGTGCATTTCATATTGATTGTAACTTGGAAACTTCAAGATATTTTACAATGTTGGGGAAATAAATCCTCAAAGGCAATGTAAATCTTATTTGCTAGGACATCTACCTGAACATCATGAGAGAATTCATGCTTTTCCACTTGAATTCTGAAAAAAGAAATTCTGTTCATCATGCTTCTACACCCCTTGTCACTCCCCATTTTATAAGCACCATCTGCTTTTCAACGTTCTTTCAAAAAGATAATGGTCTTAACAGTTGCAATTCCTGAATGAGCTTCAGTGATTTAGCAAGAAGACATGCTCTGTAGATAGTACACCTCTTGTCAGGTCAGAGGAAAAAAATGATTTTGAGTAGAGCTCCACTCAAATACATTTTGTGTGCAGTGCCCTTGGCAGAAAATTTATAAGGAAAAGGAAAATAATAATTCCTTGACTATTTGCCCCACATTCCATTCTTTTTACTGAGCCTTTGCTTCCCTTTTGCATCCAAGATAAGTTTGCACTTGGAGGAACACCTAGCAAAAAGAGATATACTTGGAAATAATTTTTATGAAGTATATCAGTGAAATAATAATACTAACAGTCAGATTCTAAGATGCATGTGAATTCAAAGCATTTGCAGGTGGAGCAGTAGGAAATTTTGCAAAGCAACTTAGCTGATGTAACGGTTCTGAGACTGGGAGTCAAGAGTTCTTTTACTTTCTTGGTAATTATTATTTAAGTAGAGGTGTGCAATCCTCTCAAGAGAACAATGCTGTTTAAGACCAAAGCATTATTCTTTCTCACTCAGTAAGGAGCTCATCATATAAATGTGATTAAAAAAGAACCAATTTGCTCTTACAAGACTGATCATGTTGGCAATACTGAATGTACAGCTTCATAGGAAAAAAAAAGTTTATTTTGCCTTTATTAAAAAATGACTGTTAGAGCAACCAAAAAGGTCTCCACTTTAAAATCACTTGAGTATGCACTTAGCAGCAGTATATGACTATTTTATATGGTCTTTAAAGTGCTGAATAATCCCATAAAGTTTTAACCTTTATTTTATTGGTAGCTGCTACTTTTTGTGTTATGTGTCTAAAGCCAATGAAAAGATTTTTCATGAATCACATGAATTTTTATTTTACTGCTCACATAAAAAAGCTTTGTAATATCTTTTAATAGCAAGATTTTGTATATCAATTATATCACAGTCAGCATGCATTATTGTGAACTCTAGTTTCTAGACCAGAAAGCCATGATTCAAACACCCTGAGCATTAAAATTAAATGGGTGGATGACTGACTACATGGGCTTGCTGGGTTATCCTGCAGCAGTTAGAAGATGGTAGAACACAGAGTTGTGACATCGTGTTTTAGTATATCTTTGATTGAGAAATAGGGTAAAAATTATTCAAAGGGGATTTTTTATTTATTTATGTATTTCTTTTAACATGATAACTGAACAAGAAGTGATGAATTACAATGTGGAAGGTATAAAATATTCCACCAGCAACCAAAACCTGCAGGGACATTTCAGTTCTCATGCAGAAGGAAAGCATGGTGAAAGACTTCTTAGCCACAAAGACAAATGAAGTTGTCCTAATTAAGATTACTAATAACCTTTTCAGTATCCTGTACTTCTTGAAAGCATTTTAAGCTTCAAAAGAGCTTAGCTTCTTCCTGTTATGTTATGCCACTGAAAGCCAGTAGGTGAAGTGACAGCAGGTTTCTCAGTTGAAAGGGAGTCAGTACTGTTCTACAAATAAATAATCACTCTGGGAAATTTCAGAGTGATTGCAAATAGTTTCATTAGTGAATTCTTCGCTCAGGCCATAATACCTTGTTTTTCTCCTCCCCTAAAAAGCACCGCACAAGCACAATTGCACGCTAACTTACCTGACAGGTTGGCAGATAGCACCAGTCAGCAACCATTAGGATTATCCAGACCAATAACCTTATGGAATAAAGAAAGCTATAGAATAACTTAGTGTTAACATACTCATCCAAATTATCCACAGGACATCATGGGAGCTGTGGCCAGTGCTGCCCATCTCTGGTGGGGCAGAGGAGAGGAGCGGTGTGAAGATGGGGAAACCACCCTGCAGCCCTGGGGCCCATATCCGTTCACTCCCAGTGTCCGCGCAGCCCAGGCACTTACCTTCTTGCCACCCAGCGCCTCGAAGTGGCTCCGCAGCTCTTCCACAGTGATGGGGGAGGGCTCGATCTGCTGAGGGCCACCTAGGGTCTCCTCCTTGAACACATCTGGCCTTCTGTTTTCTGCTGGCACTTTCTCCATGGTGCTGCTGCAGCTCATCTTACCCAGCGCCAGGGACTGTGGGACTGGTGAGTACTGGAGTGTCAGGCCAGGTCTTGTAGCATTGATGGACTCCCATCTCTGCTTGAGGAGCTCCACAGAGCCTTTCTGCAGGGGAAAGTCTGCCAGCTCCAGCGTGCCCTGCCAATGCAACATGTACCCGGGGTCAGAGACAGGCAGCACTGTGCTGGCAGAGGGCACCATGGGATGGCTTGAGAGGACTTGTGGGTGATGGGACAGGACAGGGCACAAGCTGGCAGCTGGGACAGAAGCCACTTCCCAATGCAAAGTGAGATCCAGTAAGACCAGATCCAGTAAGAGTCAGTGAAAGGGTTCTGTATTATATGTTAATTAAAGAGAGATTTAAGGGTGGTGTTTAGATACTTTATTCTTAAGCTTGCCAGCAGAATTGCTGTCTATCATGAATGGAAAAGCAGCAAGCACACAACCAGGGAGAATTTCAAACAAAGTGAGGCTAATGAATAAGTGCCTGGTAATCAGTGTGTGCTGCACTGAAAGGAGTTGTGAGAGGTGACTGCTGGTTTCTTTTGATACAGCTGTCAGTATTGTGAATTGAGACACAGCATTTTAATGCAGCTAGGAGACAGAAGGGCTTCTGCATTAGCTGTGAGAGTACTTGGATACTCTGGAAACACGTCCTAGTACATTGCTCCTAATTGCACTGTAACTCTTCTGGCAGGTAAATTACTAAGTGTTGATATCAAATCTTTCTGATCAGTTAACTGAGTTCTCACACGGGCCAATTCCACCTTTCTTACAGTATACTTGGGAAGGAAAATTGCCATTCTGTCATTTTTCACCAGCTGCTGAAATCTGCTAACCCTTTGATTTTTGAAGATTTTCTGCCCTATAGAAAATACTCAAATGTAAGTTTTCATCTCTCATTGAAAATCAGTTTGAATAGAAAGAACATGCATTTAAAACAGTAAAGAGAAAGAAATGTTAACAAGAACTGAGACCCAACTACTAGCTAGAACTCATTAGCTCCTCCCCTCTTGAGTTTATGTCCTTTAACATGCTTACATATGAGTCTAAGTCTGCATTGCTGGGAGTTGGGCTTGAGGGTCTTTTTGACTCAATTTTAAACCAGAATTACTGTGGTCTGTAATATTTTGCTTAGGAGGAAAAAACACAGGAGAAGCGCTGAGTATTTGATGCACTTCAAGAATGTTTTTAAAAGTAAACTCAAGGCCCACCTTCCCTGAGCAAAACAGGGAAGAGTTTCTTAGCTTACAGCTTTCACCTTCTATCCAACCAGAAATTGGCCCAAGACTTGTCTCTCCTTTTAGCTTTTTTGGCAGTACTAGGTTGTGGCTACAGCTAACGTTCTAGCTCCCCTTGACTGATGCAAGCTGTCTCCTATACTCTCCCCTTTCTTCCCCTGCTACTTGTGCCTGTTGTTCTAAGTTGTCTGGTTCCATCAAAGATCCTAAATGAGTCTGACTTTTAACCCAAAATGAAGAACAGCTGTTAAATTCACCAGTTGCAAGAATGTTCAACCTAACTCACAGCTGTATGTCAGAAATACTCCTGATTTACACTGCATTTAAGGATTGACTTCAGGCTGTGAAGCTGGCTTATCTTTATTCAGGTGAGTGTGATTATGCAATATCCACATTGTCCTACATTTTGCTTCGTTGCTGGTGGGTTCTTTTGGTGGTTTCAGTGTTTTTTTTAGGGTAGATGGAATGTTGTAATTCAAAAATAGCCTGGAGCTCACCTTCCCGGAAGAGAGGTATCATTATAACACCTGTGTTAGTGTTAGGAGTAAACGTGAATGTAGGTCTAAACCTGACTTTAAGCCATTTTCCAAAGATATATTTTAATGAAAGTCTCTTTCTGAAACTTGGGGAGAAACCAAACACAGAAAAATCCAAACTATGATCTGGTGTGTCTTAGAGATCATTTGAGGCTTTCAAACTTTGTTACTGCTATCTCCAAAACTGGTCCCGTATCTTCTAATTTCCTTCCCTACCTGTTCATGGTAGTTTAAATCACTGTAGAATACTAATGGGAATTTCAATTTAAATATTTGATGAAAACTTCATCTCTAAAATTGTCAGTTATTTTAATTGTTTCTTGAGCTTTGTAGAGGAGCCTTAGCCTTTATGAAAATGTAGGAAGAAAATAGAGGAAATAAGAAAAGCTCAGATTTGGACTTTAACTTAAATCACAATTATCACTTAATACTGGCTCTGCTGGCTCTAGTTTTTAGCTTTTACTGGCTGCCTGTAACATTATCTTATTTAAGTAAAGGAGAGAACAGGTATTGTTGCTTTTATCAAGTGCTGGGGATTGTGTTGTGGTGGGGTGGTTTTTTTTTTTTTGTATCTGCTATTTTTAACTCTCAGCTATCTGGCTGTATTTGTCCTCTGGCCTGTTCATTTCCTTCCCAAACTTTATCTTGATATATTCTCTCATTGTGACAATAAACTTACTACATTATCCAATTTGCTGAAATTGCAGGCAAATTCACATTGGTGGGTTTGTGACTATCCTCCTCCCAAGACCCGCAGAATAGCTGCCTGCCCATGCTTGGACTTGTGGCAAGGCAGAACAGAGTCTGTTATGCTCATGTTTTCAGTCACATTGCACCAAGCCCCTACTCATAACAGTCAAATAACAGTCCATAAAAATGGACAACATCTTTAAAATAACAATTATCAATGTGATAGGATAAAGGGTTCAGCCAGGGTAAAACTCTGCAGGGAGCATTGCCTTCTCATTTTCCTTGGTTTGGGAGCCACTCAAGTGTGCTTCTGAGGCCAAAAGTGATGTGTTGGAGAGAGAAAGATTGTGGTACCAAACAAATTAATTTAGCTTGTGAGCAGTCATTCTGGCAGAACTCAATGGTGGAATTTTTGTGAAGGAACTACCAAAAATACTATATATCCTTCAAAAGAAGATCTTTGAGAATGCTGCCTGTAAACTTTTAGCATGAATGTGTCTGTTTTATGAGGCTAGTGATAGTACAGCTGCAATCAGACTGTAGGTTTTACTTTTTTCATGTTTTTTCTCTGTGGTCTTTTGGATCTCTCTCCCACCGATTTTATGAGTGGCCTACAGTAATTCTTCATTGCATATAACAAATCTGATGAATGTGTACTTTTTCCTGAGCAAAAAAAACTATAAGAAGGCCTGTAGATTTTGTAGTCTCATGAATTGCAGATATCTGGTAAATTTCAGGGTTTTTTCAAACCTGAAGTTGTTGATTAAATCTGTCTTCACAGTAGGATCATTGAAATGCTATTTTTCTTCTTGCACTGTAAATGAGATAAGCCCTCTTCTACTGTTCGCAGACTATTTATTCAATTGGTAGGTGAACATATTTATGCAAGTAATTAAAAGAGCTGTTGAGAAAAAAATGTATTGGTTCTGCTCTGTATTCTTTTGCCAAAATGGCTACCTGCATTTTCATTATATACTTGCTATCTTAAATGTTTCTTACATGTAAACTCTTTCCTTTGTTCACTAGCAAACAAGTAAATAGAATTTGTAAAAATAGTAAACTGATATGGGATATTTGTAGAACTATTTGTGAATAGTGTTGCTATGTTCATTTAGCTGTATCCCCATGGGATGGCATAATTATGTATATTGTACTGGTGAGTCCTATCCTCACAGTAGAAAACAGTCTGTTGTCAAACAGCTGCCATTTTCCATTGCATATTGAGCTGGATTTCCTTCTCAATAAGGAACCCCCTCCCCCACACCCACACCCCCCACACCCCCAAACCCTCACGAACAACAACAAAAACCAAAGCCCAAATACAACAACAGAAAATCCCCAAACAAAATTCTTTTGAGGACAAGATTTAAGAAGACCTTTCCATGATCTCCCATACTACTTCATCCTGCTCTTGCCTCTGACAGCTCCTCTTCTATCCTACCCTGGATATCTGATTCCAGTTAATCTGCACTGTCGGGAATTCCTGGCATGAGGATCCATAGACCATCTTGGGATAAATTATGAGGGAAGGGGAATACATTGCAAATGAAGACTCTCTCTCATTCAACCCAATGCGTTTTCCAAACCATTAAAGAACAACCCCCAGGATCCAGAGGACGCTACAGAACGAAAAGCAGCTGACCCCTTAGTTTATGGCAATGCTGGGAAGGGAGGTAGGGGGATGAAAGAGGGGACCAGTAGCTGCCTAAGTTCTCCTCTAAATCTAGTCAATAATAGAATAAAATAGCTCAGTTGGAAGGGATCTACAAGAATCATCTAGTCCAACTGCAATATTTGCTGGCCACTTTACTGAATAATCTCTTCTCCCCTAAGGACTCTTTAAATGTGCACAATAGCTAGGTGCACGCTTCTGACACTGTAGCCCGAAAAGCTTGCCGTTTCTTCTGCAGGTAAGCAGAGCCTCAAGTATCTGTAACGTTTCTTCATTTACATTTCAGACACTTCTTAACAAAAGCAGCTCAGACAAGTTTATGAAAAGAGCCAAAATAGTTCTTGATTGCTACAAAATGTAAATCACTTCCAAATTCCTAGTCATATTTTGAGAAAATAAATTAATTTTGGCTCTCATTTAACATGCCAACCTTTATTCTGATACAAACATGCATAGCTGAATAATAAAACTTTAAGAAATCTCATTTCAGCTTTCAGTTATGGCAGACCCTTATTCTAGCAAATGTAACAAGGCTCCAGTATTTTGAGGTGAATCACGCTACAACACTAATTCTCATATCTTACCAGCAAAGTCAACATGTTTTCTCATCTAATATGAGAGGACTCGAAAGTGTATTATTCATATTCACTGGACTTGAGGAAAGACATGCTTTTTTTTTTTTCCTTTTATCCCCTCATTCTCATATTACAAGAGCAGTTTCAGGCCCTGCACTATACTGCCTATTTAAAAAAAAAAGCAAACCCAGCATTAAATTGCATATTTGTACTGAGCTTATCTTACCGCTGTATTCTTCTCTGTCAAGTTTTCCAGTTGTGACTCCGCTGCACTCATTGTGTTCCTGTTTAAAGGAAGAGAAATGTCAACATTCTCTAATTCGTTGGTCTAATTTGACTAACGCACATGAAGCTTGATAGACATAAGTCTGATAGTAGTTACAAGACACCAAATCTCTTGCGTGCTTGCCTTGGCAATGTATTATTTAGTGTGGCATGG